CCAGAGCTCCGCGGGGATCGACCGCAGAGCTCTCTCCAGCCGCGCCTGCCCTGGCCTCGGCAGCGGGGGCGGGGCCCCTGCTCCGGGAAGAAGGGGAGCAGGACTCACGCATTGACAAACAGAACAAGAGAAGAACCCCTTACCCTTTGGGAGGGGACCTAAGGTAGGAGGGCCAAACATATTGGGGATAGGGGGACTGTCCTGCAGATGTATCACACAAAACCGCCCATACTCATTATCCCCAAGGCAGGGAACGGGAACCTAATTGAGGGTTAGCGGTCCTTTATCATCGATGATACTTGCTTGTGCCGTGAAGAGAAGCACGACGAGCTGTTTTTTGCAATTTTCGGCCTCGAGGGGCCCTCGCCAGGCCCTGGGGCCGTCAAAAACTGGCTTGGAATAAAAAAAACTGGTCCTGGGGAGCTGGTCGGGAGTTTGGGGGACCCCGTATTCAGAAGAGTCAGCACGCCGCACGCCTGGGGAGGAGACCTCGGGCAGGTGACCTATCCGTCGTTCGGTCGTTCCTTCCTGGACTCCTCTCCTCTCTGAACGACTTGGCTTGGTTACCCTCCCCCCGGCGAAGGCCAGGGAGAGGCTCACGAGGGCAGCTCTCTGTGGAGACCAACCGCCCGCAGCTGCAAGCTCGAAGGAGGAGTGGGGGGGCAGAGGCGTGTCCCCCTGGGAGGAAAAGGCATCCAAGAGGCCCCCAAAGGGCCGCCCTGGATGCCCCAGCAAGCCTCTTGGGGCTCCCAAGAGGCCCCCGAGAGGCACCGCAAGAGACGCCACGGATACCTGAGACGCCTCCAAGAGGCATTCACTCCAGGAGACCCCAGGGCGCATCCAAGAGGACTGGGCCTGCAACCCAGTGACGGCCGCGTGAGTGGACCCGAAGGCCAATCGACCCGCCGCCCCCTGTGGCTTGCCAGACTCGCCATCGCTCGGACGTCCATTCTCTGTATTTTTCTCCAAATGATCAAAGATGCTCCTCGATGATCCTCGCCGAAGGAAAGATGCACGCCTCCGAGCGATGCCAAGCAGAAGGGTGCCAAGCGTGCCGCATGTCCGAGCGTTCTGGCCAACCATGCCCAGGTGGGGTCTTGGACTGCTGCGCCGGCCACCCAGCAGGACCAGAACACAAAAACACATAAAAGTTGCCTCCAAGACGGCCAGGATGGCGCAGGATGGCCTCTGAGGTGCCGCCATAAAAGATCAAGATGTCCCCAAAGCGAGCCCAGGATGGCCCCAAGAGGTCTCCAAGACGGGCGGAGATGCATCCCGGGCGGCCCCGGGTGGCCCAGAGATGCGAGACGGCCCGAGAGGCCCCCAAGACGACGGCAAGATGACCGAAGAGGGCCCCAAGACTTCTGTTGTTCCCATCCTACTTAAGGACCACATCCCAGAAATAATTTCGAGCACCCCGAAAAGTGTCAAAAGAATGTCGAAACGGTGTCGAAACTATGTCGGACGAGCGTCTCCCAGGGCCCGACCCGTGAAAACCCTTGAATGTCGGTAACTGTTTTGGGCGCTCGGAATTCTTCCAGGTGGTCAAGGCAAAAGTAGTTTGAAGGGGCCCCAGGACACACACACACACACAGACACACACATATATATATATAACTATATATATATACACACAAAAATAAAACTATCCCCCATATGTTCCCATATGTTCTGGGTTTCTATATTCCCCCCCGCTTCCCACATGTTCCCATCTTTTCTAGGGGATCGAGGATTCATTGTGTCTGTGTGTGTTCTTTTCCTCCTGATAGTTGGAGCACAATAGCCCAAGACGGCCCCGTGGGCTTCCAGGGCGGCTCCACAGCGTCTGGAGGAGGACCCACGGCTGCACCGAGAGGGGCCCCTAAGACGGCCCCGTGGCGGCCCCAGCCGCCGAGGCTCCTCCTCAGGAGGCTCCCAGAAAAGGCTCCCAGGAGGCCCTCGGGAGGCCCAAAGAGGGCCTCAGGAGGCCTCCGCTTCTTCTTCCTCCTCCTCCTCCTCCTCGTCTTCTTCTTCTTCTTCGTACTATTATTATTATCTGTCTTCTTCTTATTATTAGCATTAGTATTATTAGTATTATTATGATTTTTATTATTATTATTTGTCTTAGCTTCTTCTTATTATTATTATCATTATTATTCCTCCTCCCCCTCCTCCTCGCACTCCAAATGTTCCCCCAAGGGGTTCCACACTGGCTGGGGGAACGCGTAGTCCGATAGATTCGCCAGACGTCGGCCAAACTTCTGGCCGCATGGGCGTGCTCAAAAAGCATTGGGCTGCGTTGATTCGCCGTAGGCGTCTTCGATGCTTAGCGAGCAGTAAGCTTGGCTGCTTACGTTGTTGCCTAGTTATGTCATTAGCTTATGCTCAGCTGGCCCCTGTTGAACGTTAGAACTGCTCGGCATGCCTCTAGTTTGCTTAGGTGTCCCGTATATACCCTTGAAGTTGCACGACCAGCTAGCATTCAACAGTCAACTCATACTTTCGACTGCATGTGTGCTGCCTCTAGTTGTCATTAAGGGTGATCCCTCTGTCATGTCCCTGGCGCATGGTCTTTGGCTTGGCGTCTGCTTCCATCTAGCTGGTTCCGAGCCTGCGCTTCGCTTTGGGCTCGCCGTGTTTACAAATACATTGCCCCGAGTCTGCGCGTAAATTACTCAGGCACCGTCTTCAAATGAGAAAAAAACCTTGTGTTGGCACGCCCTCCTGTGTATTCCTTCAAGTGCAACCGTCTGAACCAAGAACAAAAACATCCGGAAGCACATAACGAAACAGTTTAAGCCATCAAACGCTCAAGTCGCAGTCGGTGGCTGTCACGACAACCAGCAAGCGGTCGCTGCCCAGGACCAGGGGGTAAGAACGCCATGCGAGCCTATGTATAGGCGACCCCGTTCAATGACATATGGCTCCCCAACGGCCAGCTGACTGCCGCAAGAATGCACATGTCTATGATATGTGGTGTATTGTTGACTCTGCCTTCCCTTGCTCATCATCTGCTAGCTATTCATGTACATGCGTGTTCA